CCTCCCCTCAGTCTCGCAGAAAGGAATCTGCAGCCTGGCCCCCAGCGTGCCCGATGGACTGAGGGGGGTCTCTCACTCTCCTGGACCTGGGCTTGAGGCCACGGGGAGACGGCGGACACAGGACCAGACCCAGAGTGACACGGGCTCTCTCTCGGGCTTCCTCCTTCCCCAGGGGCCGCATGGCCCTGCGTCGGCAGGCAGGAGCCTCTGCCCCAAACCTGATGGAACTCAGTGCTCCCGGAGCTGGAACAAGGTGCTCCCGGGGCTGGAATGTGGTGGTGATGCTCCCGGAGCTGGAACAAGGTGCTCCCAGAGCTGGATTGTGATGCTCCCTAGAGCTGGGACGAGGTGCTCCCAGGAGCTGGGACGAGGTGCTCCCGGAGCTGGATTGTGATGCTCCTGGAGCTGGAACGACGTGCTCCTGGAGCTGGTGCCAGAACGGCTGCCTCGTCCCCCAGCACCCCTGGGTTGGGGCCGGTGCGGGAGGACAGCGGTGGCCCCCAGGAGGAGGGGCGGCACTCACCCCCTTACCGAGGGAGCATCGAGACGCAGCAGCCCCGTGGCTCTCCCGGGGCCGCAGGGAGCTCGGCCCACACACAGAGCCTCCGTAGGTGAGCCTGTGACTGGCCGACACCCCGCGGGCCCCGTGGGGGTGTCCAGGCGTAGATCATGGATCCGGGGGACAGCTGGGTGGTGGGCGCACAAAGGTGCCTTCCCTGCGCATCCGCTGCTCCCTGCCTGACGTCCCCCTCACCCTGACAGAGACTCTCTGCATCTGGTTCCCACCATGAGACACGGCTTTGCGGGTGCCCCACAGTCGCGGCCAGGATCGCTCCTGGAACCTTCTGGAAATCTCCGGCACCTGGGATTTAAGAGCAGGAGAACTGAGCACCGTGAGGGGACACCACGGGGTGTGGGCATTGCCGAACACTGTGCCCCGAGCACACGGAGGAGCCCGACTCCAAAGTCACATGGGCTGACCTTCCACATGTGAGTGACCAGTCCACGGGGCCAGCAGAGGCCCTCAGCGGGGGGACAGCAGAGCAGACGTGGTCTGGGCTCTGCAGGTCACAGCGGCCAGAACAAGGGGCACACCCGGGCACACCTGGGCACACGTGGCCTCCGTGCTCCAAACCCTCCTCTCAGGCAGAGCTGGCCTGCCTACAGCATTTCCATTCTGTCTTGCCCCCAAATGTTGCTTCACAGATTTTGTTTGTGACCAAAGGGATGGGAAAGGGTGTGAAGGGCTTTCTGTCGAGGTGTGGGGTGTGGGGTGTGGGATGGGGCGCCCGGGGGCTCAGATGGGTAAGTGTCCAGTTTCACCTCAGGTCACGATCTCTCAGTTTGTGGGTTCGAGCCCCGCGTCAGGCTCCGTGCTGACAGCCCAGAGCCTGGAGCCTGTTTCGGATTCTGTGTCTCCGTCTCTCTGCCCCTCCCCTCACTAGTGCCCTGTCTCTCTGTCTCTTAAAAATAAACATTAAAGGGGCGCCTGGGTGGCTCAGTCGGTTGAGCGTCCGACTTTCGCTCAGGTCATGATCTCGCGGTTCGTGGGTTCGAGCCCCGCGTCGGGCTCTGTGCTGACTGCCAGCTCGGAGCCTGGAGCCTGTTTCAGTCTGTGACTCCCTCTCTCTCTGACCCTCCCCTGCTCACGCTGTCTCTCTCTCTCCTAGAAATAAATAAAAAAATATTAAAAATAAATAAAAATTTAAAAAAATAAACATTAAAAATTTAAAAAAAAAAAACCCATATCTTAGAAATAAGAAACTGGGCCCAGATTCCCTCCTTGGTGTCCCGGCAGGCAGCGTCGGAGGAGCTCAAAGCCAGAGGAAGGCCCCCTCCCCACGGGGCCCTAGCCCGCCCCGGCCCCAAGCCCTGATCTCTTCCACTAGACGGGGACGCCCGGCTGACAGGAGGGTAGAGCTGCAGACGGGAGGGTTGGACCCACAGCCCCTCCCGCCCCGCCCCAATCGCCAGCAGCCTCGCCCGCCTGACACCCCTTGGCCCCACACCCCCCAGGGGAGCCAGAATTAGAAGCCAGGCCTGGTACGATGCTCCGTATGGGCTCTACCAGGGACTGGGGAGCCACTTTCCCTCTCCACGCTGTAGCACCCCAGGGGCAAAGTGCTGAAGATGACCTAGAGGTCAGAACACTGCTGTCCTTGCCATCAACACCACCACCATGGCCACCACCACCACCACCATCACCATCATCATCATCTTCATCATCATCACCAACATCACCGTCATCATCACCATCATCATCATCATCTTCACCAACATCACCGTCATCATCACCATCATCATCATCATCTTCACCATCATCACCATCATGACCACCATCACCATCATGACCAGCATCACCATCATCATCACCTCCATCACCATCATCACCATCGTCACCATCATCACCATCGTCACCACTACCATCGCCCTGATCATTGTCACCTTAACAGTAGCAGTAGTAGCATCAGCCACCATTAAGAAAACAGAGTATTTAAATAAAAATTTTTTTTTATAGTTTATTTATTTTGAGACAGAGACAGAGCGTGGGTGGGGGAGGGGCAGAGAGAGAGGGAGACACAGAATCTGAAACAGGCTCCAGCCTCCAAGCTGTCAGAATAGAGCCTGACGCGGGGCTCGAACCCACGATCTGTGAGATCTGACCTGAGCCGAAGTCGGACGCTTAACCGACTGAGCCACCCAGGCACCCCTAAAAATTTTTTTTAACATTCATTTATGTTTTTTGAGAGAGCACAAGCAGGGAAGGATCATAGAGAGAGAGGGAGATACAGAATCCGAAGTAGCTCCAGGCTCTGAGCTGTCAGCACAGAGCCCGACGTGGGGCTCAAACCCATGAACCACAAGATCATGACCTGAGCTGAAGTCGGACGCTTAACTGGCTGAGCCACCCAGGGGCCCCAAAAACAGTATATTGAACGGAATAGAAGAGGATTTTGTTTCTGTTATTTTTCGCGGGGTGGTTTGGTGACAGGAGGAACGTCTCGGGCAGAGCAGGGCGGCGAAGGAGTGTGCAACGGGGGAAGGAGCCTAGGATCTGGGCTGAGTGCTGTTCTCAACTTATTACATGGTTTTGGAAAGTCCTGAGCTTGACATTCTGACTTGTAAAGCCGTGACCCTGACAGGGTGGGTGTTGACATAGGGGCCAGCAGCCTTCTCTATGTTCCCTTGGGACCTTTAGGTATGGTGGAAAGAGATCAAAACACTACTCAGGAGCCCATTTCTCCTCGTCCCTCACTCTTACGTCTACAAGCCGTGGTTGTCACATAAGCAAACATACAGGGGCCTAAGAGGTGGGAAGAAGACAGTCTGGGAGGGGCCTTGAGTTGTGGGAGCCGCGGAGCTTCCTGGCTGCCTCCCGTACAGCCCTCAGCAGGTGCGATGAAGCCTCCACCACGACATCTCCAACGGGGTCAGACTAACGGAGCCCCAGGGAAAAGCCTATTCCCACTGAGAAAGGTGAGACCAGATGACTTTTGGGAAATACTCTCTTCTGCTCTGGCCAGGCACCAACGGAAAAACCGCATGCCAGCTTTGTGGGCTCACAGGCCACGATACCACTCCACCCCACCCCGTCCAGCTCCTCACCTCCAAGCTCTCTAGTCCCCTGCTGGGTGGTATTGGGAGAAGAAACAGGACAGTTTTTATTTTAAAATTCGGGAGGGTAAAGGGACCTCAGGAGAACTAAGTCTTCTGCGTTTCACTCCAGGTGGTGAAATATCAGTCCAGGTAGATGGTGATGTGCACCAGGGCCCATCACCAAGAAATCGACAACTCGCTATGCTGAAAATCCCTGTCAACACATCAAGAGGGAATTAAAAAAAAAAAAAAAAAAAAAAAGCGCTCAAACACCGACAAGAAAGGGAGAGAGGAGGAACAGGAAACCAAGTAACAAGGAGCAGAGTTAAGATGGAACACACTGCTTTAAACGTAAACCATCCAAACACACCATCTGACAGGCAGAGATTGGACTTAACAAGTGACCCGACTACCCGCTGTCTTCACAGGCACTGTGTGCTCCCTTTAAATATAAGAAGTTTGACAGCAAAAATGTAGGAAGAGATTGTATACCACGCAAATATTAAATACACACACGTGTTGAAAAGTGGGTATATTTCACGCAGGCTGAAATTTCATGTAGTCCTGCCTTTAAGACTTTTTCCTCCCTCTGCCCCTCTTCCCTTCTCCCTGCATCCTGCCTCATTCTCTCCTTCCTCCACCGACCCACGGCGTCTACCCTTCTATTCTTTCCTCCAGGTGCTTACAACCCTATAAACCACATGTTCACTTACATAAAACATTCAGAGATATGCGTGGGAAAAGTGCCATTGCTGTCTTTACCAAAAAAAAAAAAAAAAAGGAGATCATTTTATAAACACTCCTCTGCATTTTGTTCCTCTCCCAATATCATTTTGGGAGAATTCCACCCAATCGATGTGGAAAAATTCCCTCTAGGCATAGTTTATCCAACCATTGCTTTATTGATGGCTCTTAGCTTTGCACCCAGTATTTTACTCCCAAGCAATGCTAGCAACATCCCTGGAAGTAGAAACAAGCAGAAACATCACGATAATCAAGTAGGGGTGTTGACGCTTGCGTGTCCCCTTGGGGCAGGGGCCCTAGACTGTCTGCCCCACACCGTCTCCACGTACAAGGGCTCCAGCTGCAACAGATGCCCGGCCTCGTATGGGCAGTGCCTGCTGGCCCCCGGGGCAGGGCTGCACTCACGTTCATCCCTGTCCTCAGCCGGGGCTGACCGTCTCAGACCATCTGAGACCCGCATCTGAAATGCAGATTCCAGGGCCCTGCCGACTCGAACTCCGGCATGGGGCCCAGGCCGCTCCCTTCAGTACAAACTCTGTGGATGGATTCAGCCTCAACCCATAACCCAGGGCTTTCTCAGGAGAAGGGGTTGGGGGAGAGCCACTTGATAGATTCGCCACCAGGGCCACAAATGACTCTAGAATAAACGGCCCGACGTGTCCAGAGGCTGCACTGTTTTGTTTTTTATTGAACATCCTGCTGGCGCCGAGGGGAGAGCTCACTGCCCCCGCCCAACCCCTGCCCACGGCCCCTCAGAAGCACCGTCTTTGAACCACGGCTCTCCCAAACTCCTTGAAATCTGCGGAGGTGACCCACATCTGCTTGAAGCTGCTCAGGGAGGTGACGATGGAGGCCCCGATCCATGTGGAGAACCACCTGTCCGGGGGGGCCGTGATCTTGATGGCGGTCCCTTTGGAGGCCAGCTGCTCCAGCTCCCTCAGGAGGCGGTCGTCGAGGCCCTGGAACAGGGTGGTGCCCCCCGACAGAACAATCTCCCCGAACAGCGTCTTCTGGATGTCGGTGTCACACTTGGCAATGCTGCAGGAGACCATTTTCGAGAGGCCCGGGCTGTGGACCCCCAGCTGGTCGGGCGCGAACAGGGCCTCGGGCGCCTGGTGCAGCTGGTCCCCGATGCGGATGATGTTCCCGTCTGGCAGCTTGTACTCCCTCTGGGTCTCCTCGGGCCTCCGGGAGAGCTCCTTCTCGGGCTCCAGGGCCACATAGCACAGCTTCTCCTTGATGTCGTCTACCAGGGCCTTGTCCAGCACGCACGGGAAGGCCCGCCCGCTGGCCAGCAGCAGCCGGCTGAGGTGCTCCGTGACGTCCCTCCCTGCCACGTAGAGCTTGGTGACCGCGTGGGGCAAGGAGTACCCCTCGAAGATGGGCACGGTGCAGGTGACCCCATCCCCGCTGTCCACCACCAGGCCCGTGACGCAGGCTGAGGCGTAGAGGGCCAGCACGGCCTGGTCCGACAGGTAGAAGGCGGGCACGTTGAACTTCTCGAACATCACCTCCGCCATCTTCTCCCGGGCCTCCCTGGGGTTCAGGGAGGGCTCGGTCATGAGCACGGGCCGGTCGCTGGCCTTCACGCCCAGCTCCCACTCAAACAGATGCTTGCAGAGGGTCTCCACGTCCTCCCAGCTGGTGACCAGGCCCCGCTCGATGGGGTAACGCAGGTGTAGGGCCTCCTGCCTGTGCAGGGCCTCCTCCCCCACAAAGTACTTCTTCTGAGTGGCCCCTGCCGAGGGCATCTTGAACTTGAGGTGCCCCACGATGGAGCTGATGATGTGGCGGGGCCCGATCTCTCCGGACAGGCCGGCCTTGCAGAGCCCGGAGCCATTGTCGAAAATCACAGCTGGAGAATCCAGCACGTGTGGGTTAAACATGACTGCGCATCCTTCTCCGGGCTGCGCCTAAACAAAGACAGAACTCTCCGGAGCTACTTTGTGATGCGAGAGGCCGCTCTGGAAGTTCTGGGGGCGCGGGGTTCCGCAGCTCCCGGGAGGTGCTAGCAGGTGGCCCCAGAGCCCTCCATCCTCCCCGCACATCTGCTCTGCTCTCGGACGGTCCGGGGCCCGCAGCCTCCGGGGCAACGGTCCCACGTGTAACAATTGAGCCAAGGCAGCAATTGTCCTCAGCCGGCCGCATAGGGCCTTTAGGGAGTAGAGGCTCGGCGTCCCCAGCGCTCCCTCCCTGGTTGAGACCCCAACAGTCGCAGGGAAAGCCAGACCCACAGGCAGCGTTGAGAGGCCTGTTCCAAGGCCCAGCCTTGGAATCACGCGAAGCGGCCCAGCCTGGGCCCACCCAGGGGACCGACCGGTGCCTCTGGCCCAACGAGCTGGCGTTCATGGGGTGGCAAAAACACACTTCCCTTTGCATGGGTCCAGGTTGGAGGGCCAGTGCCCAGAGCCCATCACCACAGGAACTCAGAACGTGCAGACTCCTCCAGGAAGGCCTCAGGGACTTTTCTTCCCTTCATCCCGTGAGCCCTGGCTCTCTATCCCATAGAATAGGGGCTAAGCAGAGCTGTCCGGGCCTGCTGGCTGTCTCTCCAGGCGTGCCTGTGCCTGCTCTGGCTCGAGGTCAGGGCCCCTCATTGCTCTGTAGCCCTGAAGGCACAGGCATGGAGCAGTGGGGTTGGGGCACAACCTCTGAGGACGGGGCTTGAGGTTTCCAGAGTTGGGGACACCCCTGTCTCCAGACCGTCTCACAGCTGGCCATGCCCACTGAAGCATGTTCAGAAATGACCAGGTCACCACATCTGAGGCGGGCGGCAAGGCTGGACGGTGGCCAGGCCACGTGGGATCCCCCACGTGGGGGGCGTGGGATTACCTGATGGTCCCTCCCCTCCCAGCACATCCAAAATCAGCCTCGGGTCCAGCTCCTGCCCCGTCCAGAGCCCCCCAGAGGACCCCCACCCCCCAGACCTTCTGGCCTCCTGTCGACCCTTTGAAACCCACCAGCAAAAATCGTAACGTGCTATTTTGTGGTGTAGATGCGTGGTGTATACATGTTGGGCAGACAAGTGACAGACATGTGACTTCTTGGGCACCTTTGGGGCTGAGTCCTGGGTGAGAATCGATATGAACTTGGCATTGTTGGACATTTTCCCCAAAGGACACCTCCATGTAGGAACTGAGTCACAAGCCCAATGGGGTTGATGCCTCATCGTCAGCTACCCCCACCCCGTGATTTGGGGGCTCCAGCATTTGGGGACGTATGTGCCCTGGCTGGCAGCTGCGGGTGAGGGGACGGTCAGCAGAGGGCTGTGCCTGGGGGGTTCCAGCCTCTGCTTACATCACAAAAGGCCTGTGTACCCGGGGTCTCAGGCTTTGCTAGAATCTTCTCAGTGTTGCCACACACTCCAGGCAGAAGCAGGAGGAATATGCTCTCAGAGTTTCTAAATTTGGGCCCCCAAAGTGGCCCACGCGGGAGGTGATGTAACAGTGCGCGTCACTTTCACACGCCGGGTGGAGGCACACGTGGGGCACGGGGCAGGCGGAGCCTGGGGCATTTGCAGGAGGGACAGAGAAGGAGACAGACCAAGGCAGAGGCACAGCCTGGCCAGTGGGGGTGGGGGTGTTCTGTGGCCCCTGGGCACCCTGTTGCTGTGACAGCACAGTAACCGTGTCCCAGAGGCCAGCTGCCTCTGACCCAGGCGCAGGCCATGCGAGCACACGGAAACCACGCCCTCGGCCCCCGTCACATCTGGGACACTCGACCTGTTGCCAGACCTATAACTCGGCAGTTCTCCGTTCCTCTGTGGCCCCGCCAGCCCCACACAAGCTCAGGCCCTCGGGGGCAGAGCTGGGAACGGAGGGGCCAGCCGTCAGCACAGTGCTTCTAGCAAAGTCATCTGCGTATTTCCAGAACCCCTCCTCTGAAGGTTTTCAGCCTCTCTGCTGAGCCGGGGGATCGCCCTTGGTCATGGGTCTGGCAACTCCCAGCCCTGCCTGTCCCAGCTCACGACAGCCGTGGCCGCTGGGTAGCTGCACGCCCGGCAGAGCGGCCCAGGGAAGTGGTCCTCACTTCGATCTCCTCCACCCGCTTGGGAGAAAAGGCCGCCCCCCCGCCCCCCCTGCCCGGAATGCACCTTCCCCACGGCTTGTCACGTGTACGTGTGGCGTCCAAGCCTGGCCCTGGGCTCGGCGGAGGCTCTGTCCACCATCAAGGGTCTAGTCTGCCTCACAGATTGTCCGCCTCATGCAGAGGAGACCCACCACCGAGAAGCAGGGTATTCTCTCGGGGGCGGTACCACGTGGCCGCTGAGAAAATCAAGTGGGCTTATGAGCTGCAGCCTACGTGATGTTGTGTCTGTTTCAAGCTCACAGCTGGGGACAGAGGTCCCGCCCCGTGGTGCCCCGGTGCCCGGGAACCCTGCCCCAGCACTTCCTCCTCTCCGTGCCTGTGGTCCACTGCCGAAACGCCCCAGCCCTCCCACCCCGGGCTCTGTACGTCCAGGAGGGACCCACGCATCCCGTGCCGGTGTCCACGTGGGAGCCACGGGCGTCCTTGCCACGTCAGTGGATGCGATGCTCCGTGTGGCTGAGCCTTTGCCGGGAAGGTCGCGTTTGCTATGAACACAAGGACGTTACCCCTCTTCAAACTCCGGTCAGAAGCCGGCCGTTCTGAGGCTGCCCCGCCCCCACCGCAGCCAGCCATGCCTCGTAAATCGCTTGAACAAGTTTATGGGCGAACTGGCTGTAACTCCATCTCCCTCCGCAGGGCAAGGCTCGCCACTGTGATTGTACCGGAGGGCACTCGCTTCCGTCTTATACAGGAAGGCTGGCTCTTATTTCTGGTCCAGCAGTCATGCCCAACGGCAGCCTCACCAGCCCTCGTACGCCCCCGTGCCCCCCGCCTCCCACACCCGTGGTAGGAGGTGCACAGCTGCTGGAACGTTGCCAGGAGTTTAGAGGGGGATGGGCAACCCTGGATCTGCCCAACGCCCTGCTTCTTACTGCCCTGGTGCAGCGAGACTAGGGACCCAAGTCCTGGGCCGGGGGCTGCCCTGGCTGGCCCATCGTCCCTGCTACCACCTGCCACTGGTGCCCAGAGCCTCAGCCAATTAGTGACCAGAAGGCTGGCCTCGTTAGTCATGGCTGACATCTGGCGGCCAGACCCTGTTTGCTGGGGTCTGGGCCGGTGCCGACCGGCAGCCCGAGGGGCAGGGTGAGCACTGCTCCTGCAGGACACGACTGTGTACACGTCCACGGAGGGTGGGCAGGTCCAGGGCCGCAGGTGCTTGAGGGTCCCCCCACTGTCTTCTCTTCTACCTCCCAGTCATCTCCTGGGAGCCCAAAGGCCTGAGCACCCTGCTTGGTGCCCTGGCCCTTTTGACTCTGAGATGGAACTTGTGTCACAGAGCCACCCACCCACTCTCCATCCATCCAGTAATATCCCCATCCACCCAACCACCCACCAATCCATCCATCCACCATCCATCTGTCCATCCAACAATCCACCCACCCACCCATCCATCCACCCGTCTACCTATTCATTTATCCATCCATCCACCATCCATCCACCAACCCATCCATCCATCCACCCATCCAGTAATACCCCCATCCACCCAACAACCCACCATCCACCCATCCACCCATCTGTCCATCCATCCACTCATCCATCCATCCATCCATCATCCATCCATCCATCCATCCATCCAGTCATACACCCATTCACCCAATCACCCACCCACTCATCCATCCACTCATCCACCCATCCACTCATCTGTCCATCCATCTGCCCATCCATCCATCCATCCGTCCATCCACCATCCATCCATCCATCCATCCATCCAACCACTCATCCACCCATCCATCCACCATCCATCCATCCATCCACCATCTATCCATCCATCCACCCATCCATCCACCCACATCCATCCATCCATCCATCCTCTATCCATCCACCATCCATCCACCATCCATCCATCCATCCGTCCGTCCATCCACCATCCATCCGTCCGTCCATCCACCATCCATCTGTCCGTCCGTCCGTCCGTCCATCCATCCACCATCCATCCGTCTGTCCGTGCATCCATCCACCATCCATCTGCCCATCCACCCCCCCACCCCCCACCCCTCCCACCCTCCATCCCCCCACCCCCCCACCCCCCACCCGTCCATCCATCCAACCTCCTGTTCTGTTATCCTCCCTCCCGCCCCCACTCTTCTCTCAGTAGCTGAAGTGAGCACCCTCACTTGTCTTTCTCCATCTCCTTCCTTGGTGACCTTGGGTGTCAGCTGAGCCTACGGGGTCCCCACAGCTGACAGCAAAGCCATGAGTCCTGCCTACTGTTGTCGCCCCCCAGCCAGCTGGGCCGGGAATGACACCCTTAGGTGACTCCTCTCAGCTTCCCGTGAGGCTGGCTCACTGCGCTGCCCGGGGTGGGCAGACCTGGCTCACTGCAGCCCCGTGACAGCAGCAAGTCAGTGCTCACGGGGCCAAAGGAAAGAAGTGGTGTTGAGCTGACACGCTCTGGGGGGCTTAGCAGCGCAGCCCTTGGCAGAGCCTTCCCCGCGCAGGGTGGCGCTGTGGAGACGCTGCTGGGTGGGGAAGCGGAGGCAGGCATATTCGGGGGGGGGGCGCAGTCTGACGCCAGACCACCCCTCTCCTGCTTTTTGTCCCCCACCCTCATGGGACACTGGTCCCCAGCACCTACAAAATATTTTTTCTAAATGTATTTGTTGGAGGAAATTTGGAAAGCATAAGGAAAAGTATTACAAAGCAGATAAAAAGTACACTTGACCCTGTGATGCTAAGCGCTGCTGATGTTTTGGTGGGCTCCTTAGGGTTTTAGATTTCAAAATACATCGTGGACGTGCTTTCCCTGCATCCCCTCTCCCACCTAACCCTCGCCACGCCCCCCTTCATGCACCACCTCCTGACGGGCACTGTGACAGGTGCCTGGTCATTTTCAAAGCCACAGCTGGCCTTTGTCACATAGGTGAGAGCATCGGGGTGCAGGGCTCTTCCCTGCGCCCCTCCCCATGAATTCTCATATGCTGTTCAGTGTCTGGCTACATTATCGCCTCGTGGGGCGGGGGCCACGGCCTGCAGGCTGG